TTGTTAGAGACTTCTCATTCTGAATTTGTTTAGCATACTTCTTGAATTCCTTGAATGCATCACTTTTCTGCACTAAAAGGAATGTCCAAGTATATCTAGAGAAATCGTCAACAATAACCAAAGCATATACATTACCTCCGAAACTCCTTGTTCTTGATGGACCAAATAAGTTCATATGTAACAATTGTAGTGGCCTTGTAGTGGACACCACATTCTTAGATTTTAAAGTTGATTTAGTTTGTTTCCCCTTTTGATAAGCATCACATAGTCTATCTTTGACGAAATTTCTCTTAGGCAATCCAATGACAAGATCATGCTTGATTAATTTATTCAAGTGTTCCATGTGAATATAAGCAATTCTTTTGTGCCACAGCCATGAATCATCGTTGTTCGCCATGAGACATTTAACCTTCAAAGATGGATCATCAATGGAAATCATGAATATATTATTAATTCTTTTACCTTTAAGTATAACCTCATGAGTGACTTCGTCTTCTATCAATCATTCATCCTTGGTGAACTTGATCTTGAAGCCTTTGTCACAAAGTTGGCCAATACTAAGAAGATTGTGCTTTAGTCCGTTAACATAAAGAACATCTTCAATGGATGTGAACGGTGGAGCACCAACTTTGCCTTTGCCTAGGATTCTTCCCTTATTATTGTCTCCATAAGTGACAAAATCCTTGGCCTTTAGCACTAGATTTGAAAATTGGTTTAAGTCTCCTGTCATATGCTTTGAACAACCACTATCAAGATACCAAAGATTGCATGTGGTCTTCAAGCATACCTCATTGTCTTCATCATCGGAATGGTGTGAGGCCACCAATGCTAGATTTTCACTTTCATCACTGTAGGAATCAGATGAGGAACTTATTTCATTATCCTCCCATGCAACATAAGCCTTTTTGTTCTTGAATCCCTTTTTGCTTTTGAAGCCACCTTTCTTGGAGAGTTTTGGACAATCCGGCTTGATATGACCTTGCTTACCACATTCATAGCATGTGATTTCTTGTGTTGATGTGGAAGCTTCCTTTTTCTTAAATTGTTTCTTTCCTTTTGAGTGAGAAAAGGGTTTGTCATTTCTACCAAAGAACTTACCAAGCCTTTTAACAAGAAGCATGAAATTTTCATCTTCTTCCAGATTGTCTTCCTTTTCCACTTCCTTGGAATCTATCTTCAAAGCAATATTCTTAGATTTCTTCTCTTGATTTTCATGCTTTTCAAGTCTTCCGAGTTCCGTTTCATATTCTTGAAGTTTTCCAAACAATGTTACGGACGTCATGGAGGAGAGACTTTTCTTTTCTGAAATTGTCGTTACCTTTGGTTGCCATTCCCTAGTTAAGGACCTAAGTACTTTCAGATTTAGTTCATCATTCGTCAAAGTTTTACCAAGAGCACTTAGATGATTTGTCAAGTGCACAAATCTCTTTTGTAGGTCAAGAATGGTTTCTCCAGGCTGCATTCGAAATAATTCGTATTCTTGACTCAGGGTATTTAATCTTGATCTTTTAACTTCAACAGTTCCTTCATGAGTTTGTACCAAGGTATCCCATATTTCTTTTATTGTCTTGCATGCCGAGACACAGAAGAATTCATCCATGCTAAGTGCACCTTGAAGAAGGTTTATTGCCTTTTTATCATAGAGAACTTTCTTCTTATCATCATCGTGCCATGCAGTTTTAGGCTTTGATGAGCCAACACCATTGATTACTGTTATAGGGATAAATGGACCATTCTCGACGGCATCCCATACTTCTCCTTGTGCTTCTAGATGTGCCTTCATGCGTATTTTCCAGAAGTCAAAATATTCACCACAAAATAGAGGAGGCTTGTAGTTACTACCACCATCTCTGAAAACGGGATTTTGATTTGTGGAAGCCATTTTGGATCTTTTAGGAACAGGTTACCTATAACCCGCTCTGATACCAATTGTAAGTACGAAGTGCGCCCAAGAGGGGGGGGGGGGGGGGGGGGCTAATTAGGTACTTTAAAAAATTCTGGTTTTAGTGATGATGGATCTTATTTTTCTGGTGAATGATGAGTTTAGGAAAGCTTAAAGTGCAGAAAAATAAAGAGACACGGACGATATATCCTGGTTCCCCTCACAGTCCGAGAGTACTCCAGTCCCCTTTCAACATGAAAGAGATTTCCTTATTGTGGCAAACTTAAACAAGAACTACCAACCAACCAAAAACAATCTTCTTGGATTTTCACTATGTCAACTATGAGAACAATCCTCTCAAAGTGACTACACTTGTATCCAACAATCCTAGAAAGACAAGATTTAAAAACACTTAAACTTATTTCCAACAATCCTGGAAAAATAAGTAAGTAACTATCAATATTTGAGTTTTGAGTGAGTTGAGTAGTATTGATCACTTAGAGTGATTTTTACAATGAATGATCTTCTCTTCCAATAATATTATTGTACAATGACTCAAGATATAATTGCTCAAAGTTTTCTGTTTAACAATGTATGAAAATGTGTAGAAAACTTATGCATGAAAGTGAAGGAATGATTGAGTTTGTATTTTTAAAATTCAGAAAATATTTATGGAAGAGGTGGTGAAAATGATTTTGAAAATGAATATTTAAATGTTCATAACACCCTTTTGAAACATAATGAAGTTCTGAAAATGAATCATGAACAAATGCCAAGTTTGAGTGAAAGGTTTCAATGAAAATGTACTATGAACAGGCATGTGAAAAGCTGTTGTTTTTCAAAATCGTTCAACATGCAATCGATTGCACCCTTTGTGTAAATCAATTGCACAAGGTTTCAACAGCTATATTTTCAAAAGTTTTAAGTGTGCAATCGATTGCACTAGCAATGTAAATCGATTGCATGTGAAGTCAGTAGCAAAAAGTAAGTGAGTGCAATCGATTGCACAAGCAATGTAAATCGATTGCACTGAGAAACAGAAGCAAACGCTCTGAAAATTTTAAGTACGCAATCGATTGCACAAGCAATGTAAATCGATTGCACAGAGAAACAGAAGCAAAAGATCTGAAAAATAGAAGCATGCAATCGATTGCACTAATATGCAAATTGATTACACTCAAGTGAAAATTGAATTTTAACTTTGAAAAAACTTGAGTAATGATTTTTAAACATTTCTTTTTCATCAATGAGCATCTATATCTTAAGATCAAAGTAAATAATATCATTATACCTTCAAAGTTGTTGAGAGCTTTGAACTGATGATTTTGTCCTTAGATGCTTTGAGCTTGATCATAAATCTTTTCCTTCTTTGTCAATCATGATTTGTCTTCATCAAAACAAAAAGTTCATTGAGAAGCTTGATTTTACAAAACAGATGTTCCTTGATAACCAATTTCTCTTCTGTGTGTCTAACCCTGGCCTGACATACATTTATCCCTGATAACCCCTTTTATCCAAAAAGCAAAAAAAAAACAGAAAACCAAAAAATATAATAATACCTGATTGGCTTCGGAGTGCAAATTTTCGGGTTCTTTTAGTATTTAATCTTCTTCCACGTTGAATGTTCGAAAGGCTAGCACCAATCTCACATTCAGGTCGAAGGAGATTAAATAGGGGAAGTTGTTGCACCCAAAAATTTGCCCTCCTAATTTCTTTTTTATGGCTTAGACATTTGCATTCATCTGCATATATTCCATTAGGTCATTAGCATAACATGCATTTCATTCAATAAAATCACCTAAGATGCAAAAGTTCAATGGTTGTGGGACATCAGGGTTTCACAGTGATTAAAGTGTATACACTCGATAAAGCTGATTACTTCTAACTCTTCTGGTTATTTCCCGATAACCCCTTTTAAGGCCATAAGGGTTTACTTCCCTATGTGCAGTCAAAGTCAGGGTTTTTCAGATAATGTTTTCGGTTAAGGTTTCTTCTCCAAGGATCATGGTTTATGGTTGCATCTTATGGCTATCTTAATTCTCTCTCGTTCAGAATTAAGGACATCCATCCATCACTCGTGTTACAAGTTCTATCATCACTTCTTGTACTTTCTTACGAAAGCTTGACTTTCATCTGAAGCTTTCTCTTAAGTGATGAGCATTTGATTCTATCCAAAAAGAATCGAAAAAAACATTCATTGTTGAAGCTCCCAGAGGTTGATTATGGAATTAATACGGTGGAATCCTCTATTCCTGACTTCATCAATTAGAGATATGTGTATCATGTTTAAAAGTTGCTTTTCTAGTTAACTATGGACTTAGGATATAAAGCATCCGGGAGTTGAGATTCAATTATGAGTTTAAGGGTTCATTGATCAAGCACGCCATTTAAGTCAAGTGAAATTCAACTTGTCATGAACGCTTGAGTTGCATTGAGGATCGATTTAAGATGAACCTGGAATATAAATTTTTAATGTGATCCAAGGATAAATCACTTAACTTGCTTGAAGAACAAGATATATGCAAAAGATGTTACAAGACTTGTGGATGATTTTCCTGGTTTTCTTGTACTCATAATACAAGTGATTCATCAATTCGCTTTGCTTAGAGTTTGGATTATGTTTGAGGTACAAAAAGAAGATTTTGAACTTGAGGTTAAGGAAGGGATCGCGATTAATTCAAGATACATTTTGAGAAGATGTAAGCATAAGAGAATAAATTCAAATACAAGTGAATTAATTCAAAGTCTCTTTTCTTGATTCAACCATGGTTATCACAAAATCAAGAACTAGAACATAAACACTTCCAACCATTCAAAATCCCATATAAAAAGTGACAATTTCAATCCAACTCATGAATATATTACATGAAAGGCCATAAACCAAAATTCAATTACATCCAAAAACCAATCATATTACCTATGTCGCATTTCAAAGAAAATTATAAAAATGTTACAAGTTAACAAATGTCCTAATTCTATGAGCTTCGTGTCAAACTTCATGCCTCCAAATTCGATGCATCTTGCTATGCCATGCTAGTTTCAGCTTCGCACCATGGACCATTGGATCAAACCATACAAACTATGCTATAGCCCTGCTCATTCAATTCAATAGAACTAGTTAAAATTCCCACACAGACCCGCAACCTACATAAATAAACATACGCATTGCCCTGCATGTAAAAAACCTCAAAATTAGTTCACTATAAAGACTGCAAACATGTTCTAAGTCCATCCTAATATAGTTTAGAAACAGGCCCCTATATTGAAACCATAAAACTGTTATCATGAACCGCCCTGCTACTGACATAGCTTCCCTACAATACATAAACTAGCTGCAAGCTTGCTTCAAGCCCTTTGTCATCAGTTCGAACCTGCCCACATATTCTATAATGAAATTTGTTGCTACCTGCATCAAATAACCAAACAGAATCCAACATAATTGGGACCAACATAATCAGAAATTAGCTCGTCATCCTAACCAAGTTTCTAACGGGCTAACAAAAATATATCCAATAACATAACCAACATGTTTCCAACTTGCAGCCAGCTGTTTTCATTTGTAATCATCTAACAAAATTAGAAACTAACTGTAACCAACATTTTCTTTTATCAAAGCCAGCTGATTAACCGAGTTATAACAAAAAAATGGCCAACTCATCAACATATAACTAACTCAAAAATCAGAACAAATCTTGACCATTCAGTTTATAACAAAATCCATAGCTAACCATTCAATCAACTAGCTCTAACTAATCTTAAGCCTCATTCTAGTTCGCAAAAAAAATTGTATCAAACTCCTAACAGAAAAAACCAACAATAACAAATTTCTCTAACAAACTTACTCTCAAAACAGAATTCAACATAACTAATTACCATATCCAATCTCATCTATAAAATTCCCTAACTAGCATTCACATTAATAGTTCAGATTGATTCAGTTTTTAACTAATATTTCACGGATTTAACAAACTATATAACTGATCCTTACCTGCATTCAAGGCTCACTCTCCAACTCTGAAAAGAATCACAAAATCTCTCTCTTCACTCTCATCTTCCTTCTTCTTTATCTGCACTCTTCATTCCTTTCACTGGCATCTTCATCCATCTTTTAAACCTCTGCACCTTCTCTTCTCAATTTATCTGTAACAACTACGCTTCGTCATCTTCCTCGCGTCTCCATAACCATAACCAAATCTTTTAACGAACTACCGCAATAGCTTCATCTTCATCATCAATACAACTTCAACAAACTTCAATTCGCAGAGCTTCATACTGCAATTATCACTGCACAATTTCAATCTTCGTCACCGGTATTTCAACAAATCCGCAACAACGACGAATTTGCAACTTTGCATCCTCATCATCAATTCAGACTTTCACCCTATTTTGCAAGTATAGCAAGTTACGCAGAATCAACAATAACCTCATGGAATCACAGAATCGCAAAAATTAATACAAAAATAAGATATGAAGAAGAAGAATAGATTGCAGAATTGAACTCCAGATTTCTTATCGTTACAACGATTTTTGAATAAGTGCCAGACAGTTCTTCCGGTAGGTAAGCAACGCAAAATTTCCATATTTTGTTCATTTCTTTCTCTTCTTTTCTTGACGAGAATCGGTAGAAGATGAAGGGTAAAAGTAAATCCCCCCGAAATCTCCGCTTGAATTGCTGGCATGTTGAGTACGTTAGGGCTTCTGTTCACAATAAATGAAGGAAGGTTTGAGCTTGTTGCAAATGGACAAAGGCGAGATTGTGAGACGGTGGAATGAAGAGAGGCATAATCGGAGAATATTGAGAGCGACGAAGAGAAGATTCGCCTGCCGCGGTTGCGAATTCGGGGAGACGAAGAGAATTCTGTTGAGAGCTGAAATGACGCAAGCCTTCAACCCTAATCCCTCTTCCTATTTGTTGTTTTCTTTTAATTTTTTTTATTATTCATAAAACAAAAATCCTAATAATGAGGCCGTTGATGATTTGTCTGGGCCGAAGTTCTCCCTAAAGCCCAATTGTTGGTGTTCTTTTTTTTTTTAACTGGACTATCTCTAAAAAAAGGGGGCTTGTTGGATCCTTTGCAATGGGCCTAGAGTTTACTTCTATATTACCATCCGATTCAGTCACAAACCTCACCTCTATTTGTAATTAATTTTGAATTCCTTTTTAGTAATTTTATTCTCTTGAATTTTATTAAGAAAAAATGTTGATAACAATAAAATTGTTTATTGTTTTTTTAGGATTTTCATAGAATTTTTCTAGGAGTTCTTTGTTTAGAATTTTAGTTAGAATTTTCTATTATTTTTTATGTTTGGTAAGCATTTTGTTGTCAAGTATTTTTTATTCGCTTTTTCTTGGCGAGATTTGAGTCTTGTGCATGTTTATTGTGTGGTATGCAGATGCACTTGAGATTTCTATTGTGATTTATTTTAACATCGATGATGCTTCGACGTTTATTCTGAACATTTAATTTCCTACTCTTTTCTTTGAATGGTGAAGCTTTCGCGAAGATCGTCGGGTTTCTTTGTTTTGATACGCTTCGCTACTGATTGATATTCGTTTAGTATTTTCCCTTGTTTATCTCATTTCGCACTTTACTGCTTTCTAAATATCATGAGAAGTTGGAAATAAAGAGCGTGCGCTCATAGTCGATGTTTAAAGTCCTGTAACAGGCATTCCGCACTTCATTTGCTATATGTGTTGTGCTTGTGTTTGTTTCCTTGGTTGTTGATTGATGAGTCACTCAATTTAGAAATTGAGATCACGATTTTTCTCCCATGGCATGTTCCTGTAGGCTAGTTTTTGTTATACTTTAATTGGTATGTTAGCCTAGATAGGATCTCTCTAGGTGTGCTCTCTTGATCTTATTGGCTTGCTTGTTTGATTTCATCCTTTTGTGCATGTTTTGAGATAAGATACCCTCTGCATGTTCCCTTAGGAGCTCTCGATTCAACTATAGATGATGATTCGAGATAAACATAGTTTTAGGTTATAGATCCTTGCTATACTCCTTTAGGACTTCTTGATTCATCTACAGATGATGAGTTGAGTTAGACATTAGGATTGTTATCTGTTGTACCCCAATTTTTACCCCTAAGATCCCTTCATCATACCATATTGATTCAATCACAACAAGATCACATTAGGGTTTTTGGTTCTCCTCCCTATCTTTAGCTTTTCTCTTTGAGGAATCACCAAGCACCTTGACTTGTTTCTTTTGTGATCATGCATGTTTTGTTTTGACTTTCATTTTAATTAATAAAGTGCAATGTTGGTTTGTCTGACTTGTTAATAATGTAGGTAAAGGCAATAAGGCTTAACAGGTTGATCCACGGGTTCATGAGTTTATTTCCATGCCCTAGTCAATAAAGCTTGAGAAGTTCAAACCTCACCATTGAAGTTATTTTGGAATAAATGGCATGGCAATGTTTATTTTGGTTCGCCACATTTCAAAGTTATCAATATTGATTCAAAAGTACAAGGGGTTGATTGAAGAAGTTGTCATGGTTGGACAAGGTCTTGTTCCCATTGGTCACAAGTGCATATTTCTATCAATTCTCAAGATATGTTAGTGGTTTTGTTTTCTATGAGTTCTCATTATCATCCTCAACAACTTCTATTTACAAAGCAAGAGTGTTGGTACAAGAAGGTTGTTCAAAGTTGTCAAAGTTCCCCCAAGCATTCTCTTGATCTAGGAGCTAGGGTTTTGAACTTCAAAGAAGCATATCTTGCTCATCTTTTGTTATTTTTGAGTTATTCCAAAGACATCCTTCTATTAAAAGGGTTATCAACAAATAACTTCAAAAGTTTCAAGAATTTTTCATATGGAAGAAACTTGATGATGAAGAAAGATTACAAGTCCTCCAGATGAACCCCCAATTTCTCATGTGTTACTTCAAATGATCATAACTTGGTCAATTTTTATCACCCTGATCCCACTTTTTTTCCATAATGATCTTAAAGATGTGAATTTTATTCCTTCTTTTATAAGAAAAGTGAGAAAATTGATGGAAGATATCCTAAGGATACAAAATATTATAGGTCATTTCATGATTTTTGGCCAACTTCAACAATTCATAACTCTCCCAATTTTTAGATATTTTGAATGGTTCAAGTTTCAAAATTTCATTCAAGAGGTCTATTTCATTCCATCTTTTTTAGTCAAGAGCAAATTCCAAGAGGAAGGCCATGTTTGGATGCAAAACATTATAGGTCACTTTTGAAGAAAAAATTGAAATATTTCTAAGTATGGAAAGTCAACCTTTTCCCCCCAACTTTGACTCAATGCAACTTTCAGCTCAAACATCCATTTGATTCCATTCTTTTTTCATTCCAAGGATTGTAACCTCATCTTTCTAAAGCATCAAGAATCAGGCCCTAAGACCCCTTGAGTTGAAAATGCCATTGTTTTGAAATTAGTAACTTGGAACTGAATTTCTCACCAAGTCAGAATTCTGAAATCCATAATGTGGCCTCTAATCACAATATTTATGCATGTTTTTGATTTAAACTTGATTAAAAAACTTTCCATAAGTGATTAGCACCTCAAAACACAAAGATTGGATGCGTTTTGGTGAAAATAAGATCACACTTCACTCGTGCATCAGGTTCACACGAATTCCCTCCAAAATGCATCAATCACTCTTCCTTTTGATCCCATTCGCTTCTTCTATAAATACATGAACTATCCCATTCATTTTCTCAAGCTTGGATAGCCAGAATCACCCTGCCAAACTTGCTCCATAACTCAATTTTCTGTAACTTCGTAATCAGTGTTCAAGCCTTTTTCAATCCAATTTTTCTATCAATTCACCTTTCTTGATCTTCCATGAAGCTAACCATACAATTACCTTCAAGAATCGTGCCCTATATTGCTCCATAGATTTCTCCATCAATTCTTTAAAATTTGATATTATTGTGATGCTCTCATTTCCCTGGTTCTAGTTGCAACACTTGCTTTTATCTGGAAACACGTTTTGATCATGAAATTTCAAATCCATTTTCAAAACTTTCCTACCAAATTGCTTGAGCTACAATTTATATAAATTTATCGCTAAGGTGTGGTTGTCTTCTATTTTAAAACATTTTAAAACATTTTTAATGAATATATTAAATATAATATTATTTTGTGATTATTTTCTGGCTGATCTTGGGTTGAATTTTTTATCATGAATTTTGTTAACATCATTGGATCCATGGTGTTGTATTTAACTCCATAAAAATGGATGAATGATTTTAATAATAGTTTGATTAAAATTTAATTCAAATGTAGTTTATATATTCTTCCCCACCCCTCTTCATCTTATCCCCTTCTTATTGCACTAAGTGTTATTGGAGCATGATCTCTATATCATGTCTCAAAATAAATGGTGCATAGATTTCTACTGACTGGCCTCAAAATAGGTGTGACTTCTATATAAGTCCACTTACGATTGCTTAACATAGCGTTAAATTTTGTCTTGATTCGAATAAATGATAATTCATGGCCCAAACCTATGTTTGCAAGCCCAAGTATGTTAATTTGATCTCTTTGATCTAATAACTTTGAGATTCATTGTGTGGAGGCTTTGGTTCTACCAATCCTCTAATGGATCTACAACACTTTTGGTCAACGCGGATCACTTAAACATCATTGATCATTAAATGGTACTTGTGAGGATTCCAAATGGATGATATACTTGACTAAAAGAAAATGCAACTTGTTGTGTGGAGGCTTTGGTTCTACCAATCCTCTAATGAGTTTCAAATGCAAGTTTCAAGATGGTTATCCAACTAACCACTAATTATTAAATTCTTTTTACTCTATGCTTTATGTACCATTTACTTTAAGCATTACATTTCATGCCATTTTTATTTTGCTCAGTTGAGCATTTATATTCTTGTTATTTTTATTTTTGGTCACTTGAACTTTTCTTTTCTCTTTTACGACACCTAATAATTAACACGAACCCTAAAAAATGCTTTAACAATACTTGGTCTATTTGGTTACTATCTTTGACGTTATGGAGTATTGGACTTCTTGGACTTAGGATTAGAAACCTTGACCTATGTTGGAGACCTTGTAACCTTAATTGATTTTTTGTCTGAAGTTCTTGAGGTTTACCTCAAGACATTGGGTTGTTTGTTTGTTTTGTGTGCAGGTTATTGTGATTACATACTTTGTTTGTAATCTGGAAATCACCTGTATACAGCCGTTGCTCTGCCTAATTTTTGTGAAGAACTAATACACTTGAAGTTTGGCTTCTTGTTGTTTAGATGGTTCTTATCCCTAGGTTTTACCTTATTCTTTAGGATATTCTCTTCTTCTCCTTCCATCTTCTTTAATTTCAAAAATCTTCTTCCTCCTTTTAAAAACTCTTCTTGTTTAGAAACTTGAACCACTTTCATAATAAACTCGGACTTATGTCCATGCATTTTTAAAATCTTTTCATAAACAAACTTCAATCAACTTAATCATACTTTGACATTTTTTTGTGAGAAGACTAAAAGTCAATCAATCTCATTTCAAACTATTTTTCCACTTTGGCTTTATTTTATTTTATTTTAAAATTTTCTCAAAAGATTAGACTCTTGTCAATCTTTGTAGTGATGCAAACAACTATGCTTCTATAATATGTAGTGAAGTGAGATATTTTCCACTTGGGTGTTGAGTGAGGCATTGTTGATTTTAAAATCCAAGCCATA